CAAATACGTTGGACATACAACTATAATGAAAAATTTAGTATCTCTAACTCCACCTCAGCTAAATCTAAGTGAGAATGCAGGGTTTTCAAAAATTTCAGCTGATGCAAGAATTACTTTAGAAAATGGATATTTTGATGTTACAATACCACTTGGCATGATTTTTGGTTTTGCTGAGGATTATAAGAAAATTCTTATGAACGCTAAACATGAACTTATTTTAACAAGAGCACGTAATGATACTAATGCTATAATACAAACAGGACAAGGAGCTGATGAAGAATTTAAAATTTTCATCAATAAACTAGAATGGATGGTACCATACATTTTACCAGCTGATAATAATAAAATAAAATTATTGAAATTTATTGAAAAAGATCCTTTAATTTCAATAAGTTTTCGATCATGGGAAATGTATGAGTATCCGTTAGTTCCAACAAGTTCAAAAGTCCTATGGCAAATAAAAACATCAACACAATTGGAGAAAACCACGATATGTAATTGTAGGATTTCAAACAGCAAGAAAAGATAAACGAAAAAAATATGCCTGTCATTTTGATCATTGTAACATTACAAATGTTAAACTATTTTTAAATTCACAATATTACCCTTATGGAAATTTAAATCTAAACTTTGATCAAAATCAGTACGCTCTTCTTTATGAAATGTATGCTAATTTTCAAACATCTTACTATGGAAAAGACTCAGAACCTATTTTAACAAGGGCTATTTTTAAACAACTATTTCCTCTAATTGTTATTGATTGTTCAAAACAAAATGAGTTTCTTAAACAAGCATCAGTAGATGTACGTTTAGAATTTGAATCAGGAAATAATATGCCAGCTGAGACCACTGCATATTGCCTCATTATCCATGACCGCGTTGTACAATATAAACCAATCAGCGGCGTCGTCAAGAAGTTGCTGTAGAGGAGTGGGGGTAAAGTGGTGGGGGGGGTATGATTGGGTATAAATTCAGTAGTTTTCAGTCAAAAATTCATTTCTGTTTCAACATGGAGTTCATTGTGGACGTTCAAGGATTTAAAAGACCCTACAACGATTTTATTTTCAAAGAGTTGGCAATACTTCCTCTTCAATCAGATGCTCAACCACTTGTCTACCTATTTGAATCACCTTGTACGTGGAATTCATTGCCAGGACGCTATAAAAGTGAAAATCGCTGGTTAACACACAATTACCATGGAATAGATTGGACAGCTGGAGACGTCTCATACGATGAACTTCGTCCAATTCTACAAGACGTACTTCGAAATGCTAGTGTCATCTATGTAAAAGGATTGGAGAAAAAGACATGGCTAGAAAAATATTTAGTAAATGTACAAAATTTAGAAGATTTTGAATGTCCATCGTTGAAAAAAATTAAATCTGATTTGTTAACATGTACACATCATACTCTTTATAATGATAATTGTGCTGTAAAAAATGTAAAGATTCTTCGCGATTGGTTTTTGGATCCTCCAAACCAATATATAAGTGCTATTGTTAAAGAAACTGACGAAGTTGATTCTACGTTTACTAATTTAAAATCTTTCTATGAAAATTGTGATTATATTTAATAAGTTTTTTTAAATAAATATTAATTTTAAATTTAAATAAAAATCTTTGTTAATTTTAAAAACCTATCCCTTTAATTAATTTAAATTTTATTTTATAATTCATGAAAATAAACTAATTCTATTGCTTAAAATTAACTTATGTTAGGGAAAAAGTAAATTTAAAACAAATTTATAGGTAAAACTTTGTGTTTTTATTTTTAACATTCTTTTTGTAATAAATATATATATACAATTATTTATTTTAAAAATTGAAATTCAACAATATTGTATGTTCCTCCAAGATATTTCATTTGAAGCTGCTTGGCTATTGCTGCTTCTTGCATCATTTCCATAGAGCTGGGTTCTTCTTCAAAGTGTTTGGCGAATCTCGATGGTAAATAGGTGATGAAATCAGCATTCACTTCGACAATGATTCTTGGTCCATATTTAGTTTGCACCTTCTTCATTTTCGTAATATAATATAAACCATTTTTCGTCATCTCAGATAGAGGTTTCGTCGGCAAGTAACCTTCGAAACGTCCAACTGCGTTGACTTTTTCAAGATCCATTTTTTAGTGGTTGTTGTAGAAAATAAAACCTAAATAAAAATAAAAAAATCTGAAATTAAAATATAGCTGAAATTGAAATAAAATCTGCAAATGGTAAAAGCTGAAAAGAATTGGAAACAAAACGACCTAAAAAAAGAGAACAAGGCCTAAAAAGAAAACAAAAACTAAAAGAGAATAATTTAATTTATAAACTTAGAAAAAAATAATGCTGAAATAACAATAAAACCTGCAAATGGTAAAAGCTGAAAGAAAACCTGAAAAAAGTGTTGTACTAAAGAGAGAAGTCTATACTTACTATTACTGGAGAGACCTGTAAGAAAGAATGATCTTGATAGCCTGGAAGTTGTCTTATATTACTAGTTCCCCACTTTCCTATCCAATCCCACCACATATTATAATGCGCGCGCAAATTTATCCCCACTATACACATACACTCTACATTGCGCACGCATGCAACAAACCACGCCTTAATATATGTTTAAATTATGCATACTAAAATTAAACGTTTCATTTTTTTTTTAAAGAAATTAGACACAAATTTGAAAAACATAATTTATTATTTAAAATTCATGGTGAAGGTGGTGGTGATGTGATTGAAATTTCTAAATTCATTTGAATTATATGCAACATTTCCTCAGTCGCGGGATAGGCCTCTAATAACTCCGCCATCTAAAAATAAAAAAAAAATATTCAGGTTAATTGTAAAAATTAATTTTAATTAAAATATAACTTTTTTTTTACTAACTTCTTCCAGATCAATATCAATGACAAGTCTATCATCATCGTCATCATTATCATCATCATCATCATGATCATCATCATCATCTTCATCATCGGTAATGATGATAGTTTCTCCCGCACTATCATATTTGTCCTCATCATCATCACAATTATCATCATCATCATCGTCTTCATAATTATTGTGAGCGTACTCGTCAAAAATTATGATTACGGAATCATTATCATTATCATCATCTAAATTTGGTTGAGGGTCCATTATTTTTTTATTTCTAAAAAAAAAAAATTTCAGATAAAAAATAGTCAAAATAATCTCAGAAAAAAAATGTGGATAATTCAAATAAATTAAGTACATAATATAAGAAAAAATGAGTTAATATGATAACTAAAATAAAAAAGAAATAATTGAAAAAAGATTTGAAAAATAAGGTCAGTTGAATGAAAAGAAAATAATTGAAACAAAGTTCAAATAGAGAAAATTATGTAGCAAGAGGTACAAAAGCTAAAATAGTGTTTAGAAAAAAAAGGAAAATTGAAATAACTGAAAAAATGAAAACAGAAATATAAGAGAAATAATATAAAAACGAAAACTTAAAACAAAACATTAAGTAAGAAAAAAGAATCGAAAACTGCAATACAAAAAAAATCTGTAAGAAATAACTGGAATCAAACGAATGCTGAAATACAAGAGAAGACCTGGCAGAGCTGTAAGAGACATTTACCTAAACGATTGGAGCTGAAAGAATGACTCTGGTGGCTGGCGTGCTGTGCTCTATACCAGCGATCCCCACCACGGCGCTCCCCACCGCAGCGATCCCCACTCACTCATTTGCCCCACTATAGATGTATCTTCTCTCTCTCTCTCTTATGCACCATCAGTTCTGCGCTTTACAATTCCTTAATGTTAAACTTTTTTTTTTCTTTAATTAATTAAATAAATTATGATTCCCTCTTAATTAAAATATCATTTAATTACTTTGTACAGTATTAAATAGTTGAATTACAGTAATGAATTTTAATTATTTTTATAGACATAGAAGCATAGAAATGAGTTTAAAGTTATTATAATTCGCATTTACCTTTAGTTTGATTTGTAGATAGGTATTTAATTATTAAAGGTAACAATTACTTATAAGATATAAATTTCTGTTAAAATTGTGCAAGAAAAATATGAAATCTTTATTTTATATGTATGAATTGTTTATCGATTTTTAAGAGATTTCGTTTATGACATAAATTAAACATATCACGCTACAAATGTCAACTCATGACAATCACTTTAAATATTTTACATTTGTTTCACTTGTATATAGTTTCACTTTATTTATGTAATTAAATAAAATTCTCTTGAAGGCATAAATGTAAAATTGAAATTAAGCGTGATTATGTATTCTTCAAAATATTTTTTTAAGCACATAAGGACTTGTTTTAAATCAAATGCTATGTAAAAAAACACAGACACTAAATGCAAATTTATTTTATTAAATTACATGATTTAACAATCTCTTTTTTAAACATAACTTTTTTTTTATCCCGTTAATAACAAAGAGAAACACACACTTTGAAAATGTATTAAAGCACAACCTTTTTGTATCTTAGAAATTAATACAATTTTCGATTTATGTTAAACATGGAATTTGTAAAAACAAATAGAAGGACTAAATCAGAAGAACATAAAAAAATTACTTAAGAAAAAAAAAATGAAAACGAAACAAAAAAAAAGTTTTTTTCTTCTTATCACAGCCCTTCATTTAAGAAAAAACTTTTATAAAACGAATAACACTAATAAAGCGCTTTAATGTCCTTATTTTCATAAAATAAAAAAAATATATTTTGATATAATGTGTTTGTTCCATTTCACAAATGTGGATATTTAAATTCGTTTATACAAACGAAAAGCGCGTAAAACACTTAAAAATGAAAAACGTGTAAAACGAAGAAACATGTAAAATGAATAACATGTTAAAGTGAAAAACACGTGAAAATGAATAATATGTTGAAGCAAAAAAACACGTGGAAATGTAAAACTACATCACGTGAATGTGAAAAACGCTGAAAGCGAAAAAAGTACTTGTAAAACAAAGACGCGTAAAACGAAAAACGCGTAAAACGGAGCACATGTAAAAACAAAAAACATAGATCTATGAACTTTTTTTTGCTCTCTTAGGTTTATCCTTGTGTTTTTTATCCCCATCGTCATCACTTTTGCGATTTTTAGACCTCTTTCTCTTGCCTGTAATTGTTTTGGGTTTTGTTAATTTTCTGATACAAGGATCACTGACACTTATTGATTCATTAGGTTTAGAAGACGTGGACACATCGGAAGTTTTTTCTATTAAATGTTGTTCGGTCACGTCTGAATTTTTCACCACATTTAAAGTGTTAACTACTTTTGAAGGTTCTGCCACTGTTAAAGTATTTGCGACTTCAGAAGAAGACGATTGTTTAACTGCCTTGTCAGACGATGATGACGATGAAGAAGAACTGGATGAAGAACTAGAGGAATCAGATGAACTTGATGATTTCGAGCTAATTGAAACAGGTGAAGACGGTCGTTCCTCTTCCGTTTCTTGAACCTTTGGAGTTGGAATGTAAATTTCATCTTCAATTTTGTTCGTTGTTGCTGGAATGTATTCCTCAACTGGTTCCCATCTTGATGGTCTACGCTGAATGGAGTCCGTTTTTTCCACCTTTTTTTTTTAACAAATTGTAAATAATTAATATATAAAATTCCATGTAAAATTGTAAATATATACTTATAACTATGAAATTAAATTTAAATTAATTGTAAATTTGTAAATATATAGATATATAGATATAAATTTGTAGCATCTTATACAGAATTTATAATTGTAAATATATACTTATAACTATGAAATTAATTGTAAATTTGTAAATAAATGTAAATATATAGATATAAATTTGTAGTATCTTATATAGAATTTATAATTGTAAATATATACTTATAACTATGAAATTAAATGTAAATTAATTGTAAATTTGTAAATAAATGTAAATATAGATAGATATAAATTTGTAGTATCTTATATAGAATTTATAATTGTAAATATATACTTATAACTATGAAATTAAATGTAAATTAATTGTAAATTTGTAAATAAATGTAAATATAGATAGATATAAATTTGTAGTATCTTATATAAAATTTATAATTATTAAAATTTTCCTATTACCGTATCAGCATGCTGAGTTTCTTTAACATCTTGTTCCGATTTTCGAAGTTCAGTTTTTCGAGGTTCTGACTCTCTTGGTTCAGATTTTCGAGGTTTCGATTCTCGTGGTTCCGATTTTCGAAGTTCAGATTTTTGAGGTGCAGATTTTCGAGGTTCGGATTTTTGAGGTGCAGATTTTCGAGGTTCGGATTTTCGAGATTGTGATTTTTGAGGTTGAGGTTGAGGTTGAGGTTCAATAAATATGGTTTTTCGAGGTTCGGATTTTCGAGATTGTGATTTTTGAGGTTGAGGTTGAGGTTCAATAAATATGGTTTTTCGAGGTGTTGGAGGGTGTTGAACTCCGGGTAGAACGCCAGGTTGAATCCCAGGTTGTGGTGGAGCACCTGATTGATTTGATGAATTTCCATAAAGGTTTCCTTCTGCACATCTATACGGAAAGTAATTCATACCATGTTGCATCTGTGGAATAACGTTTAGATTGAATTAGGTTAGGTTAACCATGTCAATTATTCTAAATTTATTATAATGATGATCTAACTTGATAATCTAATATTATAAAACTTTTTACACACTATTTATCATATAATTTAACATTATATGTTTTTAAACACTAATTATAGCATAATTTAATAACAATACTCTATTTTAGGTTAAGTTAATCTCACCTTGTCGATCATTCTAAATTAATTTTCACAATAATTTAACTTTAAAATATAACACAAATTTTATATTATAAAAATTTTTAAATACTAATAATAGTATAATTTAATAAAAATAATTACAAACAAAGACATCATGTATCGACAGAAACAGCACCTTCCACAATTCCTCATTTGATAATTCTACAATGAAAATAATAATTTTTGCTTTTAACATTGTTATTAAGAGTATTAATATGTAAATAACTTTGTAATATTTAAATACAACTTACCATTATTGCACCTCAATTATTAGCATATAGCGAACCATCACCCCACGAGGTTTAAAAGATGAAAGAAGGATACAATCACTAAGAAATTATCATGACTATTAACTTAAGGTACAATCACATGAATTCTACTCGTTCATACTTGCAATGTGTTAATTTCATTGGCTCTAGCGGACAATTAATATTTCTGTGTCGTATATTACCTAGGTTTTAACGTGAGAACTTAAATACACACACACACACACCATAACTAAATGACGGTACTCGTAGTTGTCACATTGGCGGTAAGTTTAAAACATCTTACAAATAAAAATTTATAATTGATAAGTCAATTGCAGTAGCGCCATTTTACAATAACAGCTGAGTTTAAAGCATTTTAAAAATAGAAAAATTTAAATACCTCCACTAATTCATTTAAATTTGCCGATAAAAATTTTAATTATTTTACCAAACCATTTAAAAGTAACTTTTAAACTGTAGTATCACCACCAATGATTGAAAGCCTGAACTATATCGGTCGGTAAGGTAGAACTCTGACATACCGACCGAGTCAAGATCCATGCCAGGGATCTACATTACCGACTGATAGTATATACTTACCGACACTGGCGCGAAAATTCAAAATACCCCATTCACCAACTCACTTTAAATTCACCGATAAACTATTGTGGCGCCATCTTGCGGTGGCAGCCGGAACTAATTCGGTCGGTAAAGTAGAACACCAAGCCACTTTAAATTTAACTTTTAAAAATTCAAATTTCCCGCCAAGGGGGGTTGAATTGGTCGGTAATCGAAAGTGGCGCCATCTAGCACTGGCAGCCGGAACTAACTCGGTCGGTAAAGTAGAACACCAAGCCACTTTAAATTAAACTTTTAAAAATTCAAATTTCCCGCCAAGGGGGGTTGAATTGGCCGGTAAAATGCCAAGCCACTTTTAAAAATTCAAATTTCCCGCCAAGAGGGTTTGAATTGGCCGGTAAAATGCCAAGCCACTTTTAAAAATTCAAATTTCCCGCCAAGAGGGTTTGAATTGGCCGGTAAAATGCCAAGCCACTTTTAAAAATTCAAATTTCCCGCCAAGAGGGTTTGAATTGGCCGGTGGCGCCATCTAGCGGTGGCAGCCGGAACTAACTCGGTCGGTAAGTAGATTTCTACATTACCTACTCGGTCGGTAAGTGAGCCAGAACCCGCCTTGCAACACTACTGTACAGAATTAATATAAATAAAAAATTAATTTTTTAATAAAAAGCTTTATTAATTTAATGTAACAATAATACAAATTTTATTTATAATTATTAATATATTATTCTTTATAATAGAAAAAGCCCTCTTTTTACATTAAAAAAGAAAGAATGCAAAAAATTAAACGCTAAAATCGACAAAATAACATGCTCCACATACACTACCGTCCGAAATTGTGCGAACTCTGCTTTTTCAACTCTTTTTCAAATCTTCAAAAATATTAAAACTAAAATTTTTTCCTCTTTATTTTATTAAAGCTAATAAAATTCTGAAAGAAATGACACCTTGACAAAGAGAATATGTTAATTTTTCAATTAGATATCTAAGAAAAACCCAATTTTCAATGTTTTTACTATTTTTTTTATTTCTCTGGCAAAAATTAATATTTTTAAACGTTATTAGGCTCATTGAAATCGTATTTTGTTATGCAATTTAAATTATATAAAACAATTCATGTACACATTCTTCCCTAGCGTATGCAAACCCTGAAAGTTGGCTCATAAAATGTCAAAAAATTTAAATTTAATTCTACAATAAAATATAATGTTTAAAAATCATGTAAATATATCATTCTAAACTTCTCTGATTTATGTAAGTAAATTTAAGATTTATACATTTTACTGATCATTTTTTGTCATATAAATATTAATCACAATTTTTTGACATTTTATGAGCCAACTTTCAGGGTTTGCATACGCTAGGGAAGAATGTGTACATGAATTGTTTTATATAATTTAAATTGCATAACAAAATACGATTTCAATGAGCCTAATAACGTTTAAAAATATTAATTTTTGCCAGAGAAATAAAAAAAATAGTAAAAACATTGAAAATTGGGTTTTTCTTAGATATCTAATTGAAAAATTAACATATTCTCTTTGTCAAGGTGTCATTTCTTTCAGAATTTTATTAGCTTTAATAAAATAAAGAGGAAAAAATTTTAGTTTTAATATTTTTGAAGATTTGAAAAAGAGTTGAAAAAGCAGAGTTCGCACAATTTCGGACGGTAGTGTATGTGGAGCATGTTATTTTGTCGATTTTAGCGTTTAATTTTTTGCATTCTTTCTTTTTTAATGTAAAAAGAGGGCTTTTTCTATTATAAAGAATAATATATTAATAATTATAAATAAAATTTGTATTATTGTTACATTAAATTAATAAAGCTTTTTATTAAAAAATTAATTTTTTATTTATATTAATTCTGTACATAAAATATATGAAGTTATTAATAATATTTTTAAAATAGATGTTAAGTTGAATTACAAACTTCAAAATAAGCGTGCGCTATTTATTATAGCCTATCAGGTGATTACAGCTTTAGTAAGTTATGTTTCTTCATGGTGGCCACGGGTCAGAGAAAACCTGGAAGTCAGGAAAAGAAACTTTTGTCAGGGAAATCAGGGAAAAGTCAGGGAATTTTTAATAGGTCAGGGAAATTTTTGAAAAATAAAAATTATCCGATTTTTAATGAGAAAATTGAAGAAAAAGAGGTCAGGGAAAATGAGAAAAATGTGAGGGAAAATTCAGGGAGAAGTCAGGGATTTTTTTCGACAGATTTTAGTGTCCACCATGTTCTTTACGTCAATTATTATTAGTAAAATAGTAATATTTACGTTTTTAATAAAGTGTAATTTAGTGATAACAAAAAACGAAAGACGTCTTTTCTACTTATATTTTACATTCCCAATGCTTGTCCTTAATTTAAGTTCTTATTTTAAGTATTATTTATTTTTATTTATTATTTCTAGAATAGGAATCGAACAATATCTATGGAGTGTTGCAAGAGTTTGAATTTTTAGAAAAAGAATTATTTTACTTCACTTGTATGTTCATTTCATTGTTATTAATAATTAATAAACATTAATAATAACACCCGCGCACCCTGCATCGCGGAGGAGTACATTGCGGGTTTCATGCATAACAATGCGTACGCTGCAAAAAGTAAGTATCTTAAAAGTGACTAAAAAGTTATAAAAAACATTTTATATTAAAATGCTTAGGCTAGAAACATCTTAATATAAGATGTTTTAATTGACTTTGTAGTCACCTTTGAGATACTTCTTTTTGTATTGTACAGTATTTTCTGCAAAAAATGGCAATTTTTTAACCCCTAAAATTTTTGTTTACCGTTTATACTGAATTATACTTATTTATATCTCAGAAACAAAAAAAATCGTCACCTTCAAATTTCGTATCAGTAAGTGACATTTGTAATCCGAGAAGAGATAATTTATTATTATTAAATTATTATTAAAATAAAATTTAAAAAAAAATGTTTTATATGGTTCAATGGGTGAATGGGAAGACTCTCAGTATTGTTGCAGATCGGGAAATTATAAAACAAAATGGAAATGTTGTTCAAGTTCTTTGGGGAGTTCGAACATACAAAGCTAAAATCATCGCTTGTAATGGTAAATAAAAATTTCGTTTTTTAAAATTCACTTTGAATTATTAATTAATAATATTAAATTTTAAATTTAAATAATTTTTTCTGCATTTTGATATTAATTGCTCGATTTTTCTATTAACTAAAATTTTATTTCTTTTTTTCTTTATTTAAAACTGACAATTTTAGACTAGGAAATAAATTATTTCTTATTATTATTAGGATCAAAGGAATGGTTAGAAAACCTTCACGTCAATCATCAAGGAATCGTATTGGGTCCAGATATGGATTTTATAGAAATTGGCATTCCACCCATCGAAGAACCTGCAGTTGAGGCATTGGAAGAACCTGTAATTGAGGAAATTGAAGAACCTGCAGTTGAGGAAATGGAAGAATCTACGCCAGTTGGAGAAATTGAAAATCCCTCTCCAGGACCTGCAATCCAAAATCTCCTTCCGTTTCAGGATTCCGTTCAAATTGGAGCAGGGATTTTCATTTCCCAACGACAACAGGTTGATTTGATGACATTTAAAGAACGTCCAAAGAAAATGGTCACAACTCTGTTGAAGTACTTGTTCCCCGAGGATGCATTAAAAACGATGTCACGAACTGGCAGAGGAGGCCATGATGCAATTTTAGAAAATACTTTAGAAGCCATTGAAAGTGAATATTTTGCATTCCACTTTTCACAATCCACACTACACTTTTTAATTTCCGCATTTCACATTTCGCACCCCACTTGTTCCATTCAGCATTCCACTATTCATTTTCCACATTCCACTTCCTACATTCCGGATTTCGCTTTTTACTGCTGGGGTGAGTTCGCATAATTGAACTTGCACTTACACTTTCACTTACACTTTAACTTACAATTTTTATACTGTCACTTACATTTTACGTACACTTTCAATTACACATTCACTTACAGTTTCACTTACACTTACACTTAAAATTTTTACACTTTCACTTAGAATTTTTATACTTTCACTTACACTTGCGCTTGCACTTACTTAAATTAAGTGTAATGTTATACGCTGTCACTTTCATTTACACTTAAAATTTCTACACTTTCACTTACACTTTAAAATCTTACACATTCACTCTTACTTAAATTTTTATAC